CAATGACACAGTAAGTCTCCGGCCCCGGGTTCTGTACCACGCTGCCACCGCATTCAGCTATTCTGCTTTCCAGTTCAGACTTTGAGTATTTTCCCATTCCTGTCATAACACAAAATTCAACGTCTTCAAATACATTTGAAACCTTGCTTACGTTAGAAAGATCGGGAGCTTTAAATTGCTCAGCTATCCCGATTATCTTCTTCACCTTTGACACAGTTTTCCTTTTTTTCTCTTGTGGCTCCTCATACTCATCTATATGAAGGTGCTTAGATGCCAGCTTCCCTTCCGCTTTGCTTCTGAGATCTTCTAACATGTCTGAAGTCATGCACTCGAACCATTCTTTGTCCTCTCTTATCCTCTCAATTCGGGGGAATCTCAAAGTACAGTCAGTCTTGTACATGTCACTGTTAACAATCTCGGCTGCCTTGATCTGAACTATGACAGAGTTGCAAGGCTCAATGTACATTTCAGGTTTTTCAGTTCCGCACAAAATGTTACAGGGCGGGTCCTTCCTATGGTAGGGCTTCCAGTGTTTAGCCAGTTTCAAACCTAAATCATACAATTCCTTCATGGTATAGCCAGAGCCAACACGACAAATAGAGTGGAAAACGGTAGGTTTTTCATTTGGAGGAGGCGTCTCTGCAATAGCGCACAGAAAATGAGACATCATTCCGCCACGTGAGCCCTTTCCCCAGTAACCACCAACAATTAAAAGGTCTAGTTCATCCATCAGCCCACTGACGTATTCCGGCTTGATTTTTAACCAGCCTTCCCCACGTTTGTCGGGCTTGTAGGTGGACGTGGGGTCTTTCACCATAATCCCTTCCTCTCTGTTATCTATTGCCTCATTTAAAGCATCAATCACTTCTTTTCTCGTTCTGGCACTTGTTTTACGCACAACATGTATCCTGCCCGTTACCGGGGTAAATACACTACTTAAGATTTCGTATCTTTTGCTTAGTACTTCGTGACCCAACTTCTGATCGTTAACCATCAATACATCGAACACACAGAAGCACGTCTGCAGATCAGAGTCCTCCACCATTCTTTTGATGTCAAATCTGTTTCCTTTTTGCATAAAGGTTTGCGTCTCAGGATTGTAAGCCATCATTTCACCATCCAGAATGCAATTTTGTACGTTGCTCTTAAATACTTTATGAATAAATGGGGTTAATGAACCGTCAAGGGGGGAAGCACCGAACTGCTGAGTATAGTCGAACCCATTTCGGGAAAAATATTTATACACATCTCCGTCTTTGTGCATCTGCATACGTTCACCATCCAGCTTAGTTTCTATGTAGAATATTTGGTTATTCATTTGTTTCTCAATTTGCTGGACGTCAGCAATAGCAGCAAGCATTGGTTTAAAGGCAGAAAACAACATGATGGAAACATCACTGAGGGAGACAGAGGGATCGTGCAGTTGCCTGCACACTTTTTCCAAATCAGTTGTGACGTTGTGCAATTCAGCAGCGTCAGGATGAAAAATGGAAAATATAGTTTGTTGACTAACACCAAGCTTTAGATCCTTTATAATCATCCGGATGAGCCATTTTTGTTCCAGTGCTGTGCTCTGGGTAATTAACTGAAGAAGACTTTTCTTTAACAGACCCTTGTTTTTAGCAGCGTTATTATTAGCTATCGCATCTAAGTGATCATTGACTTGTTCTATCGTCAGTCTGCCTTGTTTTGGGCTCCTGGGTTTTAACACAAAGTACGCAACCATTGCAAAATCTCCAGCATCTCCACATGAGCCAGCAGGTGTCCTGTAATTTAAAAGCTTGGCAGCGTCTTTGCCACCTTTTGGTAAGTTAAGCAGTTCAATATACAGCTTCGCAAGCATAGTTTCTTTAATTCCATACGCCATCCTTTCTCTTTCCAACTGTGGAAGAATAAGCCGCATAGCTGGATAAAAAGAATCCGTGACGTCTTTCTTTTTTTGATGAAGGGCATCATGGAATTTTCTCCAGGAATCCAGGAATTCCTTGAAATACTTGGTTTTCTCCGGGCGAGACTTACACGTCTGTATTCGCTCCAGAGTAGAACACAGATCTGCAAAAGGGACGTGAGAGGCCACTGTTTTTTCAGAAGGCTGCGAAGCAGGTGCGGAAGCCATCAGAGTCCGTTTTTCACTAAGAACAAAGAAAGCATCTATTTGTAGAGAACGCCAACGCCAGCATGTTATCCTGTCTCGAAAAAAGATATTTCTAATTAGGATTTACTGATTTTTCTCATTAGGATTTAACTTTACTTACTGTGACTTACTTAATCTTCACTTAAGGGTGACCCGCTGGCACCGCCATCCTTAGCTGGGGGTGAAACCCGGCAGCCGGGCTGCGACACTGCCACGCAGGCACCGCCCAGGCGAGAGGGCCAGAAGACGGGAGAAGGCACCGCGCTCCCCGCGCTCCCCGCTGCTGCGCTGGCGGGAGCTCTCACGGCTC